CCCTCACAGGAGGAGTATGAGGTGCACAATAAACTTCCCCTCACAGGAGAAGTATCGGGTGCACAATAAACCACAGCCATCACTGGGGGCCAGCCAACATGACACAGAGAACACAGGAACCTGACACACATGAAGTCGAGCTAGGACACATTAGATAACGCTGAGACACATAAAGACAATACTGTAACACACACTGACGTTGCTAGGACACATGTAGTCGAGCTAGGACACATTAGATAACGCTGAGACACATAAAGACAATGCTGGAACACACACTGACGTTGCTAGGACACATGTAGTCGAGCTAGGACACATTAGACAACGCTGAGACACATAAAGACAATGCTGGAACACACACTGACGTTGCTAGGACACATGTAGTCGGGCTAGGACACACATAAGAGGAGTTACAAGGACGTAGAACATTATGCTAGAGGACGGGATATAATACGCTAGGACACCGAGAATGTGCTAGGAAATAAAGGACTGTATAGATGTGAACGAGTATAAGGGGTGTATAAATTAGGACGTGTATGATGAGGGCGTGTATGATGAGGGCGTGTATGATGAGGGGGTGTATGAGCATGGGCGCGGTTATCACCCCTGTTCTTAACCTGTACGAACGGCCATTTTGACGCTATTGACGTCAAAGCGTCAAACGACGCTATTAACTATTAACAACGCTATTAACGGAAATTTGTTGACGCTTGACAAGTGATGAGAACGGGCTGAAACACCTGGTAAAAAATTCATTGACAGGGGCCTGGCAGGGATCTGAGTACCTCCACTTGACAGCCTGTCAAGGACTTCAGCACACCACCCCCCCTCCACACTTGACACCCTGGCAGAGACTTCAGTACCACTACAAGCAAGGCCTAGTCTTTTCCTTTACTTAAGTAAGTACTATACTACTTTACGAATGCTTGATTATTATTAAGTTGTAAGTAATCGCTTAAATTCCAATTATAGATTTCTAATTGACATCATACACTTATTACACTTATACACACATACACTTATTACACCATAGATTTCTAATTGACATCATACACTTATTACACTTATACACACATACACTTATTACACCATAGATTTCTAATTGACATCATTCACTTATTACACTTATACACACATACACTTATTACACCATAGATTTCTAATTGACATCATACACTTATTACACTTATACACACATACACTTATTACACCATAGATTTCTAATTGACATCATACACTTATTACACTTATACACACATACACTTATTACACCATAGATTTCTAATTGACATCATACAGTTATTACACTTATACACACATACACTTATTACACCATAGATTTCTAATTTACATCATACACTTATTACAATTACACACACATACACTTATTACACCATAGATTTATAATTGACATCATACAGTTATTACACTTATACACACATACACTTATTACACCATAGATTTCTAATTGACATCATATAGTTATTACACTTATACACACATACACTTATTACACCATAGATTTCTAATTGACATCATACACTTATTACACTTATACACACATACACTTATTACACCATAGATTTCTAATTGACATCATACAGTTATTACACTTATACACACATACACTTATTACACCATAGATTTCTAATTGACATCATACACTTTTAATCACTATTAATAATAATAATAATGAAACAAATGAGTGAGTGGAAATAGAAAACGGATATCTCGACAAAAAAAACTGTATCAAAACACCAATTTCTAGTTAGCAAATTGTTACGTAAAACAAAGGAAGAATCCGGCGGACAAATTGGTAGGCAAACAAGGCACAATGGAACAATAAACCAAGGCTTCAAAAGGTAACAAAAATGTAATATATGATTGTACACTCGCCACACAAACACACACACACACACACACACACACACACACACACACACACACACACACACACACACACACACACACACACACACGCACGAGGCAGAAACAAATGGGCAAAGTTTCTTTCACCCTGAATGCCCCTGTTACCTAGCAGTAAATAGGTACCTGGGAGTTAGTCAGCTGTCACGGGCTGCTTCCTGGGGTGTGTGTGTGTGTGTGTGGTGTGGGAAAAAAAAAAAATAGTAAACAGTTGATTGACAGTTGAGAGGCGGGCCGAAAGAGCAAAGCTCAACCCTAGTAAAAACACAACTAGTAAACACACACACACACACACACACACACACACACACACACACACACACACACACACACACACACACACACACACACACACACACACACATGAGTACCCACAAGAGCCACAGGGACGTTAGAAGGGACTTTTTCAGTGTCAGAGTAGTTAACGGATGAAATACATTAGGCAGTGATGTGGTGGAGGCTGACTCCATACACAGTTTCAAGTGTAGATATGATAGAGCCCAATAGGCTTAGGAATCTGTACAACAGTTGATTAACAGTTGAGAGGCGAGACCAAAGAGCCAGAGCTCAACCCCCGCAAGCATAAATAGGTGAGTACACACACATACACACATACACACACATAAGGGTTCTCACGTTGACTAAATATGTTTATAAAATGCACAATACTAATTACTATATATATACATGCCGCTTCAATCTTTTTCTCTCCCAGGCCGCTACAGGACAGTCTGGCACCTACAGGATTCCTAGGATACAGGATTCACTGGTCGCAACATAATTTCCAGCCAGTTACAGGATTCACAGGCAGTTACAAGACTCCCAGGCAGTTACAGTACTCCCAGTTAGTTATGGGATTCCCACCAGTTACAGGATTTCCAGGGTGATGTGGAACTGTGGTAATATGATAGTGAGGATTTATGGTAATGTGATTAACGACGTTGTACGGGGATTTTTGAAGAGAGAGGATTAATGGCACTGATAATCTGTTGCTGTTGGGATTTATAATTGAGGATTTGTTGTTGTGGGGGGATTTACGACAGGATCTAATGTAGTCGGGATTTGCGAATATCATATATATATATTGAGTTACAGATGCATGATTTTTAAATATATAGTAAAATTTGGCTATTTAACAGTCGAGTGTGTTGAAAGATTTAAAGATTAGTGTGATTTAGGATTTAAGGATTTTTTTTCCACCTTAGCATAAAGGATTAAATTAATTCTGTATCCTGTTAGCAGGTTCAGAATCATATCTTCTTTCAGCTCATTTTATTCCTGATTCCCTCATGGTATACCCTGGAACACAACCCAGCAATCTTGTTTACAACCAGGTACCCAATTACTGCTGGGCGAACAGAGGCGAACAGTTGAGGATTGGTGTTCTATTCACCCTACTCGTAGCCTGGTGGATAGCGCGCAGGACTCGTAATTCTGTGGCGCGGGTTCGATTCCCGCACGAGGCAGAAACAAATGGGCAAAGTTTCTTTCACCCTGAATGCCCCTGTTACCTAGCAGTAAATAGGTACCTGGGTGTTAGTCAGCTGTCACGGGCTGCTTCCTGGGGGTGGAGGCCTGGTCGAGGACCGGGCCGCGGGGACACTAAAGCCCCGAAATCATCTCAAGATAACCTCAAGATAACCCTCTCCTCTCTGCTCCGGGGAATTATGCCAACGAGGAATTTAACAATGTAAACTTTCTACATTGGACGCACGTGGTGGTGGTTGCTTCGAATAACACGTCACAAGTCAGCCCCTTCTCTTGCTATACCACTCCGTCAAAAATCCAACCTACTAACCATAACCAGAAACGTGTGAACCCAAGCAACCCACCTAACCTAACCTATTTGGTTCGACACGGAGAGGAAACGAGATTATTTATGACCCGATATTCTTCTTAATAGGTTGCATTTGCAGCGTTGGTCAAGATAACGTAACGAAAGCGACCTATTGCTTGAGAGAGGGGGGGAGGGGGAGAGGGGGGGGGCTCCATAAGTAATAATGTCTTAAGGAGACGATAACCAATTATGACTCAGGATTAACGAAGATGAAATATAAGACTTTCATTCAATTTCCAACAAAATTGATTGGCACGCAAATGCAAGCTGGCACGACTAGGATTGATTAAAGGTGGTTTTCAGGGATTACTAAAGAATGTTCCATCAATTCACATCACAATTGTTCCATCACAATTGTTGCTCTTACGTACACATCTGTTCCATCAATTATCCCAAAGTGGGCTTCTTTTTTTTATCACTATAAATCTCTCTCTCTCTCTCTCTCTCTCTCTCTCTCTCTCTCTCTCTCTCTCTCTCTCTCTCTCTCTCTCTCTCTCTCTCTCTCTCTCTCTCTCTCTCTCTCTCTCTCTCTCTCTCTCTCTCTCATGTTCCGTTAAGGAATATGACTGAATATTGCGAAGCAACTTTCAACGGCTGGTGGATCATATCTCTAAGATCTTCTTCATCAATCTGTTGCATGATCGTGTTGAAGATGCTATATTGAATCACAATCGACTTGAGAATGGTCCAGGACGGACTGAAACGCCGTCCTCCCTTCACCTTCTAGAGTGTGGTCTGGTCAACTTACTTTAGTCACGTTATTGTGACTCCGAAGATGCTATAGTTATTTGTTCATTTTCTGATTATGTGCAGTTCTCTAGAAGACTATAACGATGTGTTCGCTTTACTATCTACTTCTGTATCATCTGTGAACTTGATATAGTTTGTCACTTTTCTCAGTGATGTCAAAGATGAACATTTGAATCAAAGATATGACCCTAAGATGGAACCTTGCATAGCACATAGCATAGGGAGCCGGTCGGCCGAGCGGACAGCACGCGGGACTTGTGATCTTGTGGTCCTGGGTTCAATCCCAGGCGACGGCGAGAAACAATGGGCAGATTTTCTTTCACCCTATGCCCCTGTTACCTAGCAGTAAATAGGTACCTGGGTGTTAGTCAGCTGTCACGGGCTGCTTCCTGGGGGTGGAGGCCTGGTCGAGGACCGGGCCGCGGGGACACTAAAAGCCCCGAAATCATCTCAAGATAACCTCAAGATAGCACTCCAAAATAATATTTTTCCCCCCCATTCAGTTTCTCAGCAATTTACAAAACAGCTCTTTATTTTCTGTTTAAATTATTGTGTTATCATTCGAGGGTTTTAACGTTGATTCTATATGGTTATAGTTTCTGTGACAATTTCTAGTTACAGGAACAGACTTTTTAGAAAGTCTGTGGTTCCTCAACAGACTCTTAAGACAAGATCCCGTGTCCACTACGTCTGTTGAAAATCCTTTAACTGTGTAGATGCTTTTTGTTTACTTAAATTTAAAGAGATTCGTTAAGCAGGATTTATTTTTGACCAAATCATGTTATTATGTTGTTTTATTTACAAAATTATTCACCTGTAAATGGTAAATGATTCCCTGTGTTAATAGTCTCGTCAGGTTATCTTGAGATGATTTCGGGGCTTTTAGTGTCCCCGCGGCCCGGTCCTCGACCAGGCCTCCACCCCCAGGAAGCAGCCCGTGACAGCAGACTAACTCCCAGGTACCTATTTACTGCTAGGTAACAGGGGCATTCAGGTGTTTACAGATGTGTAAAACATGATTGACTAGTCTGTAGTTTTCTGCTGTAGTTTGTAGTTTCGATTTTTTACTAAATTCTATCCACACAACTTTAATTCACAAAGAAATGCAAGAAAAAATTATATAAGGTCCTACTCAGATCTTTCAATTCGCAGCACTGAGGTTATTCGATACGATCAATCAAAGACGTTATCAATCTCAGATGTGATCACACGCTGATCAATCATACTCAGATATGATTACACCGAGATTGAAATGTATGCGATCATACCTAGACGAGATTAGCCATTCGTGATTATTTCTTGATTCTTATATATATATATATATATATATATATATATATATATATATATATATATATATATATATATATATATATATATATATACCAAATGTGACAGAACTAATTTGTTATCATTCATATACGTGAGCATTCCTAGGTGTGATAACCGCGTGATTATACTCGAACAGGATCATGCTCGAATGACATCCCACCTAAATAGCATCATTCTTTGATGTCATCATTCCATACTCTGGTATGCCATCATACCATACCAACTATCACCATACTTTGACGTCATTATAAATGTTATCATTCTAATATGTGATCTCACTTTCGTGATCATCCTTAGCTCTAGTTAAACTATAGGTATAACATATGTACGCATAATTTATAATCAAAGTTCGCATTATATATTAATATAATGAAGTTATATTGATAATTTTAATGCGAAATTCGCACTTGCAATCATAGTTTCATTATATCATAATATAACCATGCCGTCCTGTGATCATTCTTAGATGTGATCTTACTCAATCATGACCACAGGACAAGCCAAGTATAACCATCCCCAAGTGGAATGATAACCAGATGCAATGATATCCAGGTGGGCGGTTTATAGTGAGTGGTTATCATCCTCAAATGTGACCATTCTCAAGAGTGACCATACACAATGGTAACCATTTTCAGGGGTGACCATACACAGTGGGAACCTACCATTAATAGGAATGACCATTGGCAAAGGTAAGTGTTCCCAGAAGTGACCATTGGCAAAGGTAATCATTCACATGAGTTACCTTATACAGGACCGATATTGTAAAAAAAGAAAATAATATATATATATATATATATATATATATATATATATATATATATATATATATATATATATATATATATATATATATATATATATATATAACCTTATGCTCGTCAGAAATCAACGTTCAATATATCTTTTACTCATCAGCATGATGAGACACACCCACATACCCGTCACTCAGCATACTCAAGTATACCTATAATAAAAAAAATAAAAAATAAAACAGTTTCTGTACTCTAGGTTATGATGTCTAGGATATCCTGTAGTGTCGTATATAGAGTTCAGACGTAAAACAATTAGTATTCACTTGTCGGTTGCTGTACAGCTTTTCTAGACGCTGATTTAGACGCTGATGTACACACTGATGTACACATTGATGTACACACACATACACACACAGGCTATTTACTGTAAGACAGACAGATGACTGTCCACAACAGCCCCCCCCCCACACACCGCTCCAGACACCCATCTCGGCGTCTGGAACATATGATCCATACACTCCCAAACCCGTCGACTAACTTTTACCAAACCAGCAATTTTGCCTCTTAAGAATCCAAGTTCCCAGCAGCGATTATATCAGAACATCGGAATGTTTCCCAGTGCGCGTATATATATATATAGGACCACGCTCAAATATTTAACACCGGTGCATGGAGTATATATAACTGCACGAATCGTATAGGAGATCAATAAGACGGGAAAATATTATAGGGTTCAGCATGACGGCGATAACAATGGAGTCTAGAAGTCTAGTCGATGCCCTCTTTAAAAACAGGGCCGTAAATTATGTATTTATAAAGGGCGATCAAAGATCATTACCGGGGACACATAGACCGTTGCTGTACCTCACGGTCTCAGGTCCGGGGAATAACGGTGACATTCAACTTCTCTAATGGTATAGACTGGTAATATACATTCTTACTTGATTTCAACATTGATTGCGGGCAAGGAAGGGTGTGTGTGTGTGTTTGTGTGTGTTGGGGGGTAGGGTAGTGGAGGGGGTGTGGGGGACAGAGAAAGGGTGTGGGATAGGGGACAGTAAGGAGTGTGGAAAAGGGAAGGGGTTAGGGGGGGGGGGCAGAAAAGGGTGTGAGGGGGGAAGGGAGCTAGGTGGTAGTGGTGGTGGTTGTTTAAGGGGCCCATCATCACGGCCCATATAACAGATTCGTGGCAAAAGTGCTCGAACCAAAACCTTAACTCAAGTATGTATGAAGGTGGGCCACGCACTCTACTCCACACCTAAGTTGCACACACTTCCATACGGTTGCACACAAGCACGCGCGCGTGCACACACACACAATAGTGTGTGATAGACCCCAGTAGGCTCCAAAACCTGTACATCAGTTGATTGACAATTGAGAGGCGGGACCAAAAAAGCCAGAGCTCAGCCCCCCCACAAGCACAACTAGGTGAGTACTACTACATGAGTACATACAAGGCAGGGAAGAAACAAGGAGAATGGGTCGTGACCAATTAGCAAATTTAAATTTGGTCTGCACACAAAATGATATGAACACTGACCATTAAATGCCACTAGGAGACAGTGACCGCCGAATTTAGGTATCCGAATACAGTGGAAATGAAAGACATAAAGAGAGGTAAGAAGGAGAAGATTGTATGTCCAGCATATATCAGAGAGGGAGAACTACCAGAAGGCCAGATAATTCCTGAAGGGTGAAGTAATGAGAAGAGAATTCAGAGGAAAAGCATCACATGATACACTATCTAATAATTTAACTAATAAAGCTGAAGATGGTTTCAAACCATCAATGAGGTGAAAGGGAACTAAAAAGACCATTTACCCATAGTATGAGAGCAGTGGCTTTGAGGCACGGAAGCAAAACAGCACAGAGGAAATATAGACACCAGAAACGAGAATTAAATCACAATGTATTAAAATTGGCGAGAAAATGAGTACATAGAAACTAGAAAAGTTGCTGGGAAGCAGAGCGAGAGAGACATTGCGTCGAAGACAAAGCCGTAGCCCTATCTAAGCAACTCATCTAGGTGAGTAGACGTATGTATGAAGATCTTAACAAAAAAACTTATAAGAAGTCTTCAAGCTGGAACCTGAAGTGCTACAATCAAAATTCCGTCTCAGTTAATGCTCACCTAATCAAGCCTTCATCAATACCTAGATTGGTCTCCATACGCACCTAGTTTGGCCATTATATACACCTAGCCTATTCACTATACACACCTAGCCTGACCTCTGCACACACACACACCTAGCCTGACCTCTGCACACACACACACCTAGCCTGACCTCTGCACACACACACACCTAGCCTGACCTCTGCACACACACACACCTAGCCTGGCCTCTGCACACACACACACCTAGCCTGACCTCTGCACACACACACACCTAGCCTGACCTCTGCACACACACACCTAGCCTGACCTCTGCACACACACATCTAGCCTGACCTCTGCACACACACACACCTAGTCCAGTCTCCAAACACCATAAACTTCAGAGACAAGTTAGAATCTCAGAGCTGCGACCTGTATATCCTTGAAATGCAATCCACCAGCCTTGTTTTCTGACAACCTCGTTCTGGCCAGTGTGAGCCTTGCCAATCAGACCCTTTCTTAACTCACACTTATATTCCTTCTCACTACCTTCACTCACCCAGGAACACGTTTTTCACTCATTCACTCACGCTCGAACACATGTTACATTCTTGTCTTTTATTTAATTTCAAAGAAATTCTGCACAAATATATAAAATTGATCAATATTAGGAAAAAGGAACAACTTGTTAATCATTAACTTGCAAGCGATCTTATTGCTAAGTTATTGTGCAATTATATAACCTTTGTAAGTGTAATTTATTCCTATGGGAGTGATTTTTTATTAGCTGTAAGTGAATGAATTGTTGCTATAGAAGTTTTTTTTTTTTTTTTTTTTTTTTTTTTTTATTATTTTCTTTCTTGCTATAGAAGTATGTGTTCTTTTCGCTATGTGAGTTTGCGTTTTTACTGCTAGTAAAAATGTTTGTATATGATTTATTGGTGTGTGTGTAACTTTATTGCCGTGTAAGTTTGTGCTTTTATTGCTGTTTGTGATGTTTTTGGGCATACAGATTTGTGATTTTATTTCAATGGCTGATAATAACAGAACTCTTCCAATAAAAGAATTAAATATCAACACTATTAAATGCAGAAAAGAGTCGTTGAGCTCAAAAAAAACCATTATAAAGGGGTGACCATATTTCCTCTCAGCCATTATCATTAGCAAAATGAAGTGAAAAGCATCTTGTGATATAATTAGAAAAATTAATAAGAGGCGGTTCCAAGCTGTTAAGGGCGACAACTAATATTTTTGACTTCAATTAAACCTTGTTCCGACTCAATTAATTTTTCGTGAGTGACGGACAAGGCGTCAGAACAGGACGTGACAAAATCACCCAAGACCTGGCAGACAGAAATCTAAATTACGCTCTGCTAGATGAAAAAAAATAATAATTCTTGAATGTGATATTAGTTTTTTTTTCTAATATGGATACTAATAGTGAAAAAAAAAACGGAATGAAACGCGAAAATGATTGGTTAAATTTTAATCGAGTTTTTCTTGTGCCTTTTTTTATTTTTTCTCTTGATTCGTAATTCTGCAGAAAATCAAAAATTAAAAAAAAGGCAAATTCTGGTTGCAGCTTTTTTTTTTTTTTAAATGGAATTGTTAATAGATTACTGTGAAAAGGATGAAGCTTTTCTCCTGAAAATAAAAAAAATTAAATGAAAAATGTGTTTTTAACAGCACTGGTTAAATGAAATAAGAGACAGGAGACTTTTCAAAGAATATCTTTCATAAGGAAAAAGGTATTTTAGGTCCTTATATATATGCGAAAAACCCTGAATAGGTCCCAGGCATATATGAAACTGAAAACTCACACCCCAGAAGTGACTCGAACCCACACTGCCAGGAGCACTCTGTAACTGGTGTACAGGACCCCTTAATCACTCGAATATCACGACCGGACCAAAGATGATGGTAGCCGAGGCTAATTCCCCATCATCATGCCGG